AACAACTGTAGGGATGACAATCGAGACTGGGTGGTTCTTCTAACGGAAATAACCCCGTTCAGACTATTAAAGTAATTTGGCTAAATTTTCAAAGTATTCCCTTTTCATTATCAATGTTCTAACTTTTATAGCGAGAACTATAAACTCTTTATCTAATGCATCTTTAACGTAATTTTTAGAAACATGGATCGTGTTTATGACCAATATATAGATTTAACAAATGAAAATCATATTTGTATTTTGAAGGCAGTGGCAAAAATCGATTCAGTGAAAAAGATATTGGATTTTTACAGTATAATATAAATATAAGTAAGCGGTTTACAGCACAAACATAACTATACTGAAAATTAAAATTATGTCGCGCATTCCACTACATATATAACTATCTAAAACTCTCTTCTCAATCGGTCCGTAATTACTAAAGGTGGGAAACAGATAGTTCCTATAGGAACGGTATCACGGGGCAGCGTCCGATCAAAGACCGTCCCTAAAGGAACTAAGGGGGGAGGGGGCTGGATGGCCGAATGATAAGTGCGTGTGCGTTGTATCGTACGGTCTGTTATTTAGTCAACTGGCGTGGTTTCGATTCCCCGGACTGCTAAAGACCCCTACGCGCAAGCGAATTATTGAAATAAAATTGAAAAATATGTTGGTCCCGAAATGACCTAGTTTGTGTCGAGTGGATGTTAAACCCCATCTCTCTCTCTCTCTCTCTCTCTCTCTCTTTCTCTCAACTTCATTAGCCCAATCGGTGGAGAAAAGCGGGACATTGAAGCAATATAGTCGTTCGTGGCGACATTGTTTTAAATTTATAGACAAAGAATGGAGAAATAAGATGACTTTATATTTCATTAATTAATATATTTGGCAAATTAATAGTTTCACACATATTCACATATGTATTATATATAGTGTGCACTTAAATCAACTTAGTCTGTAATTGACAGTTGACACATAAAAAGAGTTATTTAGCCAAAACATGTGTCTATAAAATACCACGAGATATCACGTGCATGGAAATTTTACCATTGCATCATTTGGCTTAATTTAACCAATCACATCGTTAATTGCACAGGTTCAGGGCCATGATTACACTTGATTGTGCATGATATATATAAGTCTTATAAAAGAAATCATAGTAAACTTTTAAGTCAGACTTCCATTAGATTCCAGAGAGGTTCCATCTGAGTTCCTAGACAGCCGCGAGGCTGACTAGGGTGGAGAAGTGGTTTTAGCTAGTATTGTAACCTGTGCTATGCTTGTATTCCTGTATTAGGCTATGCTATATAAAATGTAAAAACGAACTGTTGCATTGTTATAACTGAGAAAACAAACGTCTTAAGAAACTGTAAGAAGTAAATACACAACGTGAAGCAGAAGTAAAGACAGCTAGAGACAAATTCTAGACGATCACAAGGCTACAGAAATATGTAGTAAGAAAAGATGCATGGGTCGTATGTAGGATGTGGCGACCGGTTTGTGTAGTCCGCTCTCCACGTCTGACAGAAGACTCATGGTGCTACAACATTCAATCCCATTTCATTTTATTGTATTTCATCTTTGTTGTGAACATTAGTAATAGTGATTAATAATTTTTAATATACGAAGTCGTGTAACATCTGATAATTATTCGCCTTCGATGTATTTAATTATGCACATGTTATAGGAACTGTTATATCTTGAGAATATATTTAGATTAAATTAACGCAGAGACACCTGTCATTCTCAGAGACACATGCGTGTCTAAAGGCCCGGCCCCAGTGGCCGATGGACACAAAACGTATGCATAAAGGACACAGCGGACGAGCAAACTTTCGGGGGTGGCTCCATCCGTTTTCATCCGCTCCAGAAATGGACAAAATTGACGAAAATTTGCGAAAACAGAACGGAAAAGAACGAACGTGGGAAGTATGTAGCGGGGATGTTAAATGGATGTTCATCGGAAGCCTAGCGGATGGAAGTGGATGACAGCTCCGAAGGGGTTAAACAAACTCCAGACATCCTTCAATATACCAGATACATCCCAGATACAAACGCTTTGTCCGTTTTGAAAACTTTATATACGAGATGCATACGCTTACATCCTTTCTATTTCCGTGCTACTAACGATGTATAGACGTTCCATGTACCTTATCTTTTCTCCCTCTTTCCGTTTTCAGCTGGAGCGGAAGTGAGTTGCGAGGATGACCAGGGGGTGCAGAGAGGATACAGTGGACGTTTAACTGATGATAACGGACATGGACGGTTGGTGCTCATTGGTGCTCGTACACGGCAGAAATTTCAACTTATGCATAATAATTTCAAGGTTGTGGACACTCTAGAGGTCACAATTTTTATACGATTTTGATGAAACTGACAATGCATGTTTATTTACCGAAAGATCTCGACATGTTTAGCTAAGGGACCGTCTAGACCTCGTAGTTTTTATTTGATTGTCAAAACCGTTTAAATATATCAGCGTTGCACCATGATTACGGAGTTCAAATTTCGTGAAAATCGGACCGAAACTGCCCGACAAAATGGCCGCTACCCTTAAAAGCATGTAACACCCAGGCTGTGGCCCAGAGGTTCGAATTTTCATCCAATTTTGATATATCCTAAAGGCCCGGGTTCCTTTCGATGTTGGCAAGTAATTTACGAAATATTACGTTTTTAGCGTGTGGACCCTCTAGAGGTCACTATCTGTATCTTATTTCCAAAACCGTTCAAATGTTTCACTGTTAGTGTTACATCATAATTGTGAATTTCCTGAAAATCGGACCCCTAACTTTCGGGCAGACGGGTAAAGTGAAAACAAAAATTAATATTTCATCTAGTTGGCAAAATAAAATGCCCGAAATCTAATAACACGCTAATTTTACTTTTCTTTTAAATGAATACCACGAATTTGCACTGAATTGACTATAGATTTTCCGGAGTCACTCTCTTTTGTGCGACATTTTTCGGGCATCGATTATGTTTTGTAAATGCAGCTGCAACAGTCTGATTGGATAGTTGGAATTCGGGTCGACATAGAGTAGGATTTCAGTTGAATACCGATTGGAAACTTTGACGTTGCTTAAAGGCTCAATACCACTCTTGTTGTAACTGAATAATATGTCCCAATCTTTATTCTGGTCAACAAATTGTACTATTTTACAATATTCCAATTAATTGATGATACAAATTTCATCTTAACACACCTAATTTAAAAAATTGAAAAAATTCAACTCAATGATTTGAAAAGCCTGACGTACAGCTTTTCAAATGTTACTTGGATTTAAAAATATTTTTGAACCCTCTGGACAAGTAAAATAGGATTTAATGGATAATTTACACAACACGTCGGACACTAACACATCTAGTACTTAGAATAAGGCTATTTTTTTATTTTCTGGAGCTGTCAAGCCAGCAATAGTGTTATTGTCCCTTTAATTCACGAGGTAGAAAAGTAGAAAATATAATTTCAAGATTTTCTCGGGATTTGGGATTTAGGTAAGTCACCTAAAGTAGGCTATATTGGACCACATTGAAGTATCTGTATTCACGGGATGGTCTAGCAGGAAAAGCGTTTGCTGCAGATAAATTTTCAAACATTCATAGAGCTCGTACGCCTATGCATCACGGGATCATTTTATGTATAGATTTATCTGATATTTCTAGATTTATTTCGATAAAAGGACACCGGCAAAACGTGAAACACCCTTCATAAAAGGCTTCTGGTTATTAAAAATTTTAAAAATTACGTCATGCTTCAGATGTATAAATAATGAATTTATTTATCGTTGATGTTATACACATTCACTCATCGTCTTCTTTATATCATATATTATTATTGGCATACTTATTTAACAGGGACGTTACTCAAATATCTATTTTATTTTTAAACATAGGGGCATAAACGGTCTGACAAGATATATTTATAGCGTGCTATAAATGACTAACATTGACAACTGCTCAACATGCTTATTGTTATTGCACAGAAAACCCACCCCACTTCTCTATATGATTTCTGCTAAAACTAGTGTAAACCAGCAAAAGTGTGCAATAACATAGAACATGTCTAGTTATTGCACGGTTAAGCTCCACCCATCTGCTACAGGGAAAACAATCTGCTTATTCAACGAAAAGAACAAAGGAAGATTTCCCGTCCATATTACAATTAATTTTATTTGCGCAAACCAGTGAGGTGTTACATAGAAATAGATGTTAATAGAACCGTATTAATGCTAGGTTCCCACTATCACGATTCGCGCCAGTGAAACCGCAATTATTTCTGGGGGGCAATTCAGGTTCTGCCCCCCCCCCCCCGCCCCGCCCCACTTACATTCATCGATCCCGTACGCCTTTGCTCGCAACCAAGCGCCCCCCCCCCCCCCAACTCCGCCGGGCCTGCATTGTGTATGTTCGATTGTCAGCCTGAAAAGACCCTAATTTAAAGAATAACAGTCGAGCGACGTCACAGTTAATCTAACAGTCGCGACAACCGAGGTGTTGTGGGCAGAGCGGTAAAAGATAAAAGCTAAGGCCCACTGCAGATTCCGTCTTGGGTCACCAGATGTAAATAGTGTTAGTCCTAACCCAATTTACATGTCGTGACCTATGAAGAAATCTGCAAAGGACCTTAGCTTTCAGCCCTAATCGATGAAGATTCTATTCTGCAGTATGGTGCAGATAGCAAGACACTGTATCAGCCAACAAGATCTTAAACCACCAATGGTGAGAAGGAGTCGTAGTGGCTCAGTGGTTAAGGTGCTGACTCACTAGCTGGGAGGTCAAGGATTCGATCAGAGTTGATGGAGATAGTTCCTCTGGATTTTTAGGTGTAGATTCCCTTTGTAAGCGGACCAGGATGGGACAAAAACCGGAGTTCCCAAGTACACATTGGCATGGATGTAAAAGAACTCTTGACAGTTGGAATTCAAAATAAAAGTAGACCGTCGCAGGGCAACATCTCCCTCATAGCATACTGTATGATGTATGCCCATCTTCATTATTCATTCATTCAAAAACAACACCAATTTCTTGGAAGTTTTTAGTTGCATATTTAAATTCTTGATAAGCAGTAATAATAACATATATAATAGTAGTCGACACAATACTAATAAAAAAACAAAATGTTCCAATAATATCACTCTACATACAATTATGTACAAAATGAAAATTGAACTCGCTTCTATACAATACAATTCATCTATACAAATAAAAAATTGGTATGCTATAAAATAACATTAATTACTAATTAATTATTTAAATAGATATCATTCTATGATCTACACAGTAGGACATTCAATGAAACCTATTTTAAAATTACTTATTGAGCACAATGACAATGAGTAAAAGAAAAAATCAAAACATGAGGGAAAAATTCATTTAGAAAAAATTTAAAAAGCTTAAAAAAGGCCCCAAATGTGATATGATATGATAGATGATATACTGTATTCAACCATATGAGCGTTTGTGATTGTCAAGGACAATTGTCAATAGAATACATGAACAGTTGGTCAATAATATGGAGCCCAGAGGCCTAATGCCAAGTGCAAAAGTAACATTTGTGACCAGTTCCAGCTTAATGAGACATGTTGCAGGTAACTTATTTCAGATACTTACAAAACAATAAAGACAGAGAAATGGCATTTAACATCCACTTGATACAAATTTGGAGAGATTAACATATGGTTTAACTTTATTTCAATAATTCACTTGCGTGTAGGGGTCTTTAGCAGTGGGAGGAAACCGGAGGAAACCCACGAGGTTGGACAGGCGACCCTACTCCTTGTCACGTACAACCGGGGATTCGAAACCACGCCAGTAGACTCAATGACAGGCTTTATGATACAGCGCGCACATGCTAACCATTCAGCCATCCAACCCCCCCCCCCCCCCCCCCCGGACACAAATTAGGTAATTTGGGCACTCATTTATGGTACAATCTGATTTCAAGACGTGGGAAGAAACCCTACGAGAATAGCTAGACCTGTAACTATATTGGTTTATTACCAATTTTAAGTTTTCAGTATATTTGTTTTCAAAAATAACTTTATTGTTAATGTGATGGTGCATACCAACTTAAATTCTAAGCCTAGTTATGTTTCGATTTTTGGGGGCCCATTTAGCGAGATTTTTTCACATGCTGTTGAAATAGTTCAAATTGTGAATTAAAGAGTATGTGTGCTGATTAGGTTGAATACTGTAATGCAAATAAAGTTTTAACACCCTATAGTTGTGGTTAAATTTAATTCTACAAATCTCTAGATAATAAATATATGTAAAATATTTTTTGGATAAATCTTGCATTCTGATGGACTGATACAGATGTATTAGTTTCTAATACTTTAATAAGTATCTTATATACAAACATTTCAATCCCTTACAATATTAAAAAGTTCAATGCCATGCAAATCAAAATCTTACTAATCATAATTGGGCAAATCGATTAAAGACATTTGTTTAGTTAGTAAGATCATGTGATCTGAGCAAATCTCTAAAGAAAATGTGTCAGATATCAGTGTAGTACCAGACCAAAAATGAAATGTACATGTAATTGACATCTGATTTGAATGAGATTGAACTAATTATTATTATTGATATTATATTTCAACACTATAGATTCAACAATGTAATAAACAGCTAAAACATGTTTATATACATTCAGAATCCGCTACATACCACAAATATAAATATGGGGTTTAAATCATATTTCATGTTCATATTTCATCAATCAATATTTATTAAGGATAATCATCAATCAAATCCTAATTTTACTGCACAAACCCTTGAATACATAATATACAGTACGACTACAATCTACATGGCTAATGTTCTATACATGATCAGCTAATCTTTCATTGAGAATCATGTATTGTATTGGAGTGAAAATTTGAAATGAAAAATCACCATATAGGTGTACCTGACCAAAAATTCCTATTGTATTTGTTATTTTAGCCTAGTGGATGTAGAATGTGACCGTACTTAATCAAAGACATGTTTTGAAACATAATTGTAACATAATATACCTGTCAATCATTCTGTTAATAAATATATAAAGACAGTATACACAATAGAACAAGACATAGCACTATGAATTATTAAATATGAATAGATGAAGATGTACACAACAATGGATATACACTTGATGATCTTTATAACATTGTACACACATTTAAGCACTTGTATATTAAGCTTATGTTATTAACGACACATACATAAAAATGTAAGATTTGATCAAACACACATTACATTTTAAAAATACACAAAAAAAAAAAAACTTTTCGACGTTTACACATTTTTTTGATTGAATAATAATATTTTTCAAAAATTTGATTTTAAGTACCGTAGGAATTTTCATTGTTTAATTCATATTGGAGGTGATTCCAAAAAAGAGAGAAAAAGACCCTAATTGGTTCATAGTAAAACTATGATATAAAGAAGCAGCATTTGTTACCATCTAATTCTTTAAAGAAGTATTCATGCTATTGCAGATTCTTTCTATTTTATTCATTATCTAGCATCAGAGTAGTTTCAAGAATGCAGAACTTTAAATTTTCTCTGACAAATTAAGATGCTGGCAGTGAGACCATCCAGGAAACTGCTTTTAATGTAAGCTATGTGCTTGTCCTAGAATAACTCTGAAAAGATGTGGCATTGAGTGAATACACTTATGTGCTCAGCATTTTTCCTTTATGATTACAGTTCATCTAGTAATGTTTTGGGTCGAAAAATTTATTTGTTAATTATCCGTTGGGTTAGATAATGAATAAAGTATAAAGGAACTGTATCTTTAAATTATAGTTATGATAAAATAATACCCCCATGGTTTAATACAATACAAACATACAATGTCTATTTATAGTATTAATTAAACTTAGAAAAACAAAGACAGAGACTACTATACAATATCTCTGTAGTATTGAGGGATCTATTATGTAATTTGTATCAATGCAAGTAAACATTAATTTACAACTTCAATATTTACAATATTATTTTGAATAAATACCAAAATCATTTTAAACACAAGTAAGACCCTTTTTCCCAAATTATTTTAAATCTTGTAAGGACCTGAGGCTGTAACTATCAACATTCATTATAGTCTTGTCAAGAATTTCTAGGGACTTAAAAAGTTGAGTAAGTAGATTCCTGGAATTGTGGAAATGGTCAGTGCCTATATATATATGTTATGTCTTCCAATGTCTATGATATTTAAATTAGGAAAGCTATACAATAGATTAAAAGACGATAATTGTACTACAGTAAATGAACTATTATTATCACTCTGGAAGCTTATAGATACAGTACAAGCAGAGGCTAAAACACCTGGTACAAACAATTTTGGCATATATTTAATCAGATGCCTGAAGATCAAAATACAGGCCTGAAAATATTGGTCTGAAATCAATCCCTTAAAGATAAATGATCTTGTTCGAAAATGCACATTTGTGTTAAGGGATGATCTCTGAACTCTACTTATTTTCAGGCCTAAAACAGCAATATATTGTCAAGACAGCTTATGTACACGCACAATAACACAGTAAACCATCAGTCATTCTATAAATTAAATAATATAAGTTTGATTATGTAAGCACGTTGGTTCCATCCTTGGTTCTGCCATGATTTTAAGCCATGATCTAATGTTAATCTATACTGTGAATCATGTTACTATGAATCATGATCTTTCACAACTTTTTCAGACTCTCTCATTCTTGTACATGATTAGTCTTTTTAACTGAAAAAACACGCAAAAAATGATTAATGACTTTTAACAATATCAGGATTGACTAGCTCTAACAATATATAAATGTTGATAAGTGCAGTCATTGTGCAGTCAATATAACTGGCTACAAGAGATTAAAAACAGTATGCTAATCATTCAACAAAATGGTGAAAAAAGTACGAAAAATCCTATGGAAAGAAAAGAATTACATTATATATGAGAAGGTTTCTTGTATGTTGTTAAACTTACCAATTATCAAATTATTTTGTGACCTTCAGTGACCTTTTTGCGCTTCTTTAGCAGCTAAGATCAACGGAACCAAACTAGCTAATGGCTTGGCAAGTCGTAAAAATGGATGCTGAAAAAAAAAGAGAAGAAACTAACAATGTGTGACAAATCAATTTCTATTTCCTTTATTCCTTATTTGAGTTGGCAACTTGGCATGTTGGGCTAGAAATTGGAAGAAGTAAATTTAAACTGTGATGTGATTTGGTCAATCAGTAGGTGTGGTCCGGTAGTCTTACATCAAGCCCAAACAGATGCCATATTGGTTCTATGATAATCAGATAAAGAGGAAGCTTTTGTTTGTTATATTAAATTTAATTTAGTTTAAAGATGTTTTTCAGAACCAGTAACACTATCAGGGGTCCAACTTGACCATAAATATATTTGTAAGGTTACCTTCAATAGTTCGGAGGCTGATGCTCTCTTCTCTACATCAACATCCAGACATTTATCAAGAAAATCTTGGAAGACAGGAGACAGTTTCTGTTTTTCTTTAATGTCTGGCTTACCATTAGTAGCTATCAGATATAAAGCCTGTAAAATTAAAATGTCCACTCAGATTAACTAGGAATCAAATAACATTTGATAAACACAAGTTATCAATACAATTTAATATTTGACATTACACACATGCATCTAAATCCAGATGGTGTTTTGTTGATGAGTTGGAACTGTGGTGAAACTAATAATATATTTTATCCCTAACTTCTGTTCATTGTAAATATCTCTAAACACTAGAAAACTAAAATGTCCTAGGAAAACATGGAATATAACTAAAATTTGTAGTGTAATTACCCATAATATACCTACACACCAAGTTTCAATTCAATACCTCAATGGAAAACTTTATAAGGAATAAACATGCCCCCACCCTCTCCACTTTAATTGTCTACTTACCCTGAGTGGGTTTTCATTCAAATATGGAGGTTCCCCTTCTATCATTTCTATTGCCATAATACCTAAACTCCAAATATCTACTTTAGGACCATATTGTTTTCTGTAATACATAAATATAAATACAGTTAGATTACATAATAAAAGCATGAGCTAACAGGTTATTTGTGAAAATATTGTTTACATTTAAAGCTGACCAGAAAGATAGGTTGCCAGGCAACGAAACATACGACCACAGCAGCTAAAGCGTCCGGGCAGTCAACAAGGGTTGTCGCATATTTTTACTTTTTTCGGTAATGAAACATTTATAATACACTAAAATCTGATTAAGAGCAACAACTCACGAAGTAATTATCAGAAAACTATTAGAATTTGTTTGGTTTTTATAAAGTTCAGCCCCATGCTAACGTTTTGTATGCAAAGCTTTTAATATCATGGATTTAACTGTTCAAGGCATAAAAATTCATTGAAAATCAATATACTTGTTTGTCTCAAAATCTTAAACTCTGTGTATCAATCTGAATTCAATCGGATGATAACTTTAGCTTTTAGAGCGTCACAAGATTTTGCAAAGTGATCAAGGGCCATAACTTTGGCAGTAATTATCGGAAATTCTTGAAAATCAATAGGAATCTTCGTCTCATGACCTCAAACATTGTATATAAATTTAAACTCAATCAGATATTAACTTTAGCCTCTAGAGCATCCACAAGATTTTTTGAAGTGATCAAGGGCCATAACTCTGGCAGTAATTATCGGAAATCGCTGAAAATCAATAGGCTTCTTCATCTCATGACCTTAAACACTGTATAAATTGAAAGTCAATCGGATATTAACTTTGGCCTCTAGAGCGACCACAAGATTTTTCAGTGATCAAGGGCCATAACTCTGTAAGCAAATATTGGAAATCGCTGAAAATCAATAGGCTTCTTCGTCTCATGACCGTAAACACTGTGTATAAATTTAAAGTCAATCGAATATTAACTTTGACTTCTAGAGCATCCCCAAGACTTTTTGAAGTGATCAAGGGCCATAACTCTGGCAGTAATTATCAGAAATCGCTGAAAACCAATAGGCTTCATCATCTTATGACCTTAAACACTGTGTATAAAATTAATGTCAATCGGATATTAACTTTAGCCTCTAGAGCATCCACAAGATTTTTTGAAGTGATCAAGGGCCATAACTCTGACAGTTATTATCGGAAATTGTTGAAAATCAAGAGATTTCTTCGTCTCATGACATTAAACATTGTGTATAAATTTAAAGTCAATCATATATTAACTTTGGCCTTTAAAGCATCCACAAGATTTTTTGAAGTGATCAAGGGCTATAACTCTGAAAATCAATAGGCTTCTTCGTCTCATGACCTTAAACACTGTGTATAAATTTAAAGCCCATCGGATATTAACTTTGGCCTTTAGAGCGTCCACAAGATTTTTTGAAGTGATCAAGGGCCATAACTCTGGCAGTAATTATCGGAAATCGTTGAAAATCAATAGGCTTCTTCGTCTCATGACCTCAAACACTGTGTATAAATTTAAGGTCAATTGGATATTAACTTTGCCCTCTAGAGCGTCCAAAAGATTTTTCAAAGTGATCAAGGGCCATAACTCTGGCAGTAATTATCGGAAATCGCTGTAAATCAATAGGCTTCTTCGTCTCAAGACCTTAAACACTGTGTATAAATTTAAAGTCAATCAGATATTAACTTTAGCCTCTAGAGCGTCCACAATTGCTTGTGGATGCAGGACTGCCAGCCGGCCCCCGGCTTGGGGCGACGACAATATATGACCACATTTCAATGTGGGCGTATAAAAAGAATAGTTAAATTACATATTGAGTTAATGAGCCATATTGGTTTTACTGATATTAGATACTTTCTGTTGATGAATAAGATCACCAAAAGCTGTAACTGACTCAGTTGGGTGTTTAGTTGCTCAATCACAGTAAAGATCCAAATATATCTCAATAATGGTCCTCAAATGTATCTCAATAATGGTCCTCAAATGTATCTCAATAGTGTGATATAGCCAATAAGTATACTCAGCTCATCACTAACTATCACAATAGAACTAAATAAGTGTAATCTTTTCAACAAAATTATAGCTGTAACTTACCTTGTGACAACTTCTGGTGCCATCCAATATGGTGTTCCGACCATAGTAGATCTTTTACTTTGTTCTGGTGATAACTGAGCACAGAAACCAAAATCAGCTATAAATAAAAACAATATACCATATGTAAACAAATATAAACAGCCTGGAGGCAATTCTTAAAAGTAAAGAATACCAATAGCAGTCTTCTTATACATGTTGATCTTAAAGAAGTTTGATTATTTAAAATTTAATAAAACAAAATCATATCTACTTCTTCAAGGGTTTATCTTGATGTTCTCCAATCAATTATTTTTGATTTAATGTAATAAAATCATTTATAGGTGGTGCTAGATTGTGCAACCGGTGCGGAATGTTGCAAATTTTCTTAATTCATTACATATTTGGAAATATTGGGCTGATACTCTATTTCAAGACTCAACTCTCACAATCAAATAAAATGACAATCAATGGCTCTAAAGGAGATAAGTCTCTAATTCAATTGTATCCATAATATTTGAAATTAAAAACACAAATTAGAATTCAATATTGATCAATTAAAATTTTATAATCAGTACACGAGTTGTGTACCCTATGGTTTTGGGTGCCATTTTGTAATGAACAAATAAAAACATATCCTACAACACAATGTGGAAGTAATTAGTAAAGGCTGATTCACAAACGACAAAATAATAGTTTTAAAAAATGTGTGGAATGCACTAAGCAGGCGTAAATTGGAACTGTTCAATATTTCACCGAACATAATTGATTAGAAATTACAATATTTTTTTTTCATATTACATTAATATGTACTTTTAGAACCATAATTATCTATTGCAAGTTTTAAAAAAAATAGAGCCATACGCTCTTTAGCACATCCCCAACCCTTTCAAATTGACTGCTTGAGACTAAACAAGTATATATTATTTTATATCAAGAAAGGGGAAAAGTGGACTCTTGTCACCCATAATATTAAACGTACATTATGCAAGAGCTAAATCTGCCTATCGCAGGTCTTACTTTAGGCCTGAAATGTTATCTAAATTATTAATTGGACATTACTTAACTTATCCAGACCTTAATCAACTCTCGATGTCATCGCTAGCCTGCGATATTTACTGGATTTGAATACATTTTGTGATGGATGATTTAACATCAAAATGGATAATCGAGACTTTGTTTTTTTACCATACAGACTTTAGTAATGATCGAGGCTAGGCGTAAAATTCAATTGCTAATATCTCGGTTCAGAGTAGAGCAATTTTCAGCATATTCTATTTGTGTTATCTACTTTTTAAACTATTAAAGCGAGAACTGTGAGCTCTTTATCTAATCTCCTAATAATGCCCCTTTAAAGTCCCATTATCTTGAATATACAATATTATTATCATATAATCTATAATCTGATTACTTACTTAATTTAACGCTACCATCCATACCCAGTAAAATATTGTCACTTTTTATATCTCTATGTATAACTTGATTTTCATGTAAAAATTCTAATGCTTGTAAACACTGTAATATAAAGAATAAATTTATAAGTACATGTAATACAGAAAAGAAACTAGCCAAAATTCCCAAATCAATAGATGACACTCATTCATTACTTGCACATTTATCTTTCAATAGAAGAGAGAGAGAGAGAGAAATGGGGTTTAACATCCACTCAACACAAAATAAGTCATTTCGTGACTAACATATGGTTCAATTTTATTTCATTAATTGGCTTGCTCGTAGGCGTTTTTAGCAGTGGGAGGAAACTGGAGGACCCAGAAAAAACCCACTTGGTTAGACAGACGACCTCATAAATTTTGCATGCACAAACTACACATTATTTCTGATAATGGTTATGCACAAGAACTACACACCACAACAAATAGATCATCTGTGATTTAGATGTATTCAGCTTGTACAGATGAGGCAATCCATAAAGACCAATATAAGGGAAGTAATTCATATAGGGTTAACAACACCAGAAGTGTTTGAAAAATATATAACAACATAGAATTTAAAGTTCTGTTCACAATGAAATATCTACCTATACTATTCAGAAAGAGAATCTATGAGATACAAACTCTGGCCATTTTAACTTTATAATTTCCTTTACAATATTTACCTCTCTACAGACAGCTGATATTTGACCTTCATCCATACAAGTTTCGGTTACAACATCAGTTAACGAACCACCAGCTAAAAATTCCATCACGACCTACAAGAGATAGAATAATATAGCATTCATTTAATATATTGTAATTCTAAATTTGATCTATCTGTTCTAATTGTATTTTTCCAAGGTGATAATTCTGATGAGGTCCCATATATCTTTGAACAAAGATATTCTGAACTAAATATTTTTAAACATCTGAGATAGACGTTTGTCAGACAACCATTGTCCTGTATTTTGTTAACAAGCTAATATAAACAGGAATGTAAATGGGTGGGGTCGGAAGAGAATAATACTGAAATTTATGACTGAAAGCTTTTGAATTTAAGGGGTGTCTCCTTGCGACAAAGTGAAAAATCCCTGACGGACCATGGATGACAACATATATTCATATTAAACGTGGGTGTGTAATAAAAAAGACCATTTTTAAGGGATTATATCGTTTCCAGTTTTAACAAAAGGTGTGCCAGGATCTAATAAATATGTGTTTAAATAAGCATGGTTGAACATTAATACTTATTCAAAATTCTAAACAAATCTTACCCATAATTCTTCTCCAACAAGATAACTATCCAAATAATTCACTATATTAGGGTTTTGATTTTCTCTCATGACTAGGATTTCATTGATAATAAGTTCCTTCTTAGGTTGTTGAGACAGATTCATAGTTTTTATAGCTACTTCTCTTCCAGTAGCTACTTCAATAGCAATATATACAGTTCCTGAAGCTCTGAAATATAGAAATCAAACCCACATTTATTCAAATAAGACTATACATAAATTTCTCAAACCAAATATTCCAATGTTTTCTAACAATGAACAGATCTGCAATACCCAAAGCCTAACTAAACTTTGATATTTTGAATAATATGAATGAACTCTTTTTATTTTTATAAAACTATGTGCATTGTGGAGAACAAAAGCTTCCTAGAACCATATTCCCATGTTCTCCTACAGTGAACAGATCTGCACTGACAAAACTCCAACTAAACTTGATATTTGACCGTTTACCCCAGACAAGATAAAAGACAAGAAAACCATTTGGTTTGAATATTATTTTTAAGACACTTCTTCAAATTGTCTGTTTTTTTAGTTTCTAAAACAGAGAGAAAGAGAGAGAGAAAATGAGGTTTAACATCAATTCAACATAAAGTAGGTCTATTTCGGCACTAATATATGGTTCAATTTTAATTCAATAAATTGGTTGTGCATAGGAAGTAAATCGGAGGCCTTGTAAGGAAACCCTTGAGGTTAGACACGTGACCCTACTCCTTGTCATGTACAAGTGTGGGATGACAGACCTTGTAATCTGAAGCACAACCATTCACTCACCCTTTCCCCCAGTTTCTAAAACAAACAGTTGAAGATAGGAAACAGAAAAATTCTACTTACCCTTGACCAATTTTTTCCATCTTGGTGTATTTTCTATTTGGGTCCCCGATTGTAACAATACTACGTAATTTCTCCATGATTTCATCATCCGTCATCTTCTTTTTCTTAGGTTTTTCTGTTTTATTATCATGACTTGTTTCATTAGGTTTATCTTCTTCTATTGGTTTTGTATACTAAATATATTAATATAAATACAGTTATTTTTAAACAAATACCACCAGCCATTTAGTGGTTAAAAACACATCTGGAAGGCTAATTTTTCAATGAAAGGTGAAACAATTTGCACTAATATAAACACAGATAAGACAATAGTTAAAAATTATGATCAGCCAAAGACATTTAGCATTTTCTGGTATGCAACTGTAAACTATATCACCGAGAAATCTTAAATTCAGTTATATAATCTCCTAGGTCTGTTGTGTAGTGGAAGAAGGATGGGCCTATTATTACTTTTTTTTACCAAAGAAGAAATAAAATTGACTAATAATATATGAGATACAATGTCATAAAACGTATACATACTATAGATTTGGTCCGATCAGGGCGTGTTGCTATAGGTGGGGGTGGGGCTTCGTCATCTAGCTCTCCATTATTTTCTGCTGCATTTGATAAATTTTCTGACTTTGACTGTAAAGAGAAATAATAAATTTTGGTTTACAAGAAATTAATTTAAAACTGTAATAAAGTATACAAAGGGAGCGGTGTGTTTGATTTGTCTACAGACATTGTGCTGTCATCTATGCAAGTTTCACACAACTTGGGTTGGTGTGTTTTATTCATATTGCCAGTTTATTTCATTTAATACGGACACACAATAAAACACAGTACTTTCAAATTTATAAAAATGGGTGATATTAAACCTCATTTGAGAGATGTACTTTAATATAAGATCATGACAACACATGAGAATGGGTATAAAGTGTTGAATTTAAAAACCTATAGTTAATACAGTTTCTCTGTAGAAGTTGTAATAAAATGCCAATGTAGAACCCACCAATGCATTAATTCAAAGGGGCATGAATACCAGAGCCACTGGAAACAGCATTGCAATGAGAATGATCCCATAAGAAGAATTGCAGAGACAAATCTTCTCTATGTGGCGATGTCATAAATCATATTTCAGCTACATTATGTCTCACCAGCATTTCCAGTCAACCTGGGTATATTTTGTATTATATATGAAATTGTACTGTAGATTAGGTATAAATATATCTTACCGTAGATGTTAGAATTCCAGCTGGTATATTGTTATCAGACGTATTGGATTTAAGAGAATTTCCACCTGCAGAAAATACTATATAAACAACAATTTGTCATTATTATTATTTTCCCAACACCAGTATTAATACTTAAGATTAATAATATATTATCGTAAATATATAATACAAATAATAATTAATATTTTCATAGATTAGCAGTATTAATAAACATTAATCATACTAATTAAAAACTATTAGCAGCTAAATTACAATCAATTTTTAAAGTTACTTTATATAAATATAAAGTACTTTATATAAAGAACAAGCAAAAGTGAGGCTGATTTCCCCCGCAGAAATCCCAAAATAAATAGATGACACATATTGATTAATTGCACATTTATCTTTTTCAAAAGAATTGAGCAATCAACCTGATTTATCTATACTTAGTCTAAGCATAAAAATTTTCACGATCAAACTCAGTCATGGACTTGAAGTACCTGTTAGTGGAACTATACACTAAGTTTGATCACTCTCCATCAGTTATCTAGTCCCAAAGCATCGACCAATTGTATTGCTTAGCTTTAGTCAGGAATGTTAATCATTGAATTCAGTCAAGACATTCACCTAACGAACATCTACATCAAGTTTAAATACCTCAATTAAAAGCAGAGTTGTTATGTTCCAAAGTCTTGACCAATCAAATTGCTTATCACAACTTAGCTTAAGCAGAAATTGCTGATTATTGTACTTACTCAAGGTATTGATGTAACGAAACTATACACCTAGTTTCATAACTCTCACTTAATTAGAATTAAAGTTATTGTGTCCCAAAGCATCAACCAATAGAATTGCTTATCTCTGCTTACCCTAAGCAGAAAATGCTCATCTTCGAACTCCATTGGGACATTCTTCTAATAAACACCTACACAAAGTTTGAACATTCTAGCTCAATTAGAAGCAGAATTGATTGTGTCCCAAAAAGTGTGATGGACAGACAGACAGACACACCCATTTTAATAGTCCCCTGCTATCTTCGAAAGGCGAGGACAATAAATTTTAATGTGTGAATACAAATTTTATTTTCATGACGTCTATCTATTTCTATGTGTAGCTATGCCATATTTTCAAAACTACACTATTTTCTACTTCTACATTGTGAGCAATGTGCATAAGGATTTGGATTATTTCAGAATATATTTTCAATAATTTAAAAGAACATGTTCTACAAGTATAGTATAGTCTTCCTACATTGCAGATGCCCAATGTTCTGCATATGATCAACAGTATCAACTGTATCGGAAAGGCATCGGCCAAACTTGAAACTTATTTAGGTGGAATTAAAGTGATAAATGTACATGATTAATCAAACATGTTTTTCTTCTTGATGTACTAGTGCAGATTCTTTTGGGTTTGAACTGTACCTGACGACCATGGACAGAACATGGCATTTACACTATATCCTTAATATCTGTAAATGTTCAAGTATACTTACTAGAGGCTTTGCTATTGAGCATGTATTTTGATTCTCGTTTTTCTTTTGACGAAGAATCATAGTAATTGAGAACATCTAAAACAGCTTGTGGATTTTTCTTCTGTTCTGACTTAGTAATGGTGGAGTTCTGTAATAATTTGGCCCAGGATTCTGGCATTCCCTGAAAAAATAAATAATCAAGATGTGGTATATGTATATAACGGAATTAAAAGGGTCTTCAAGTCATGCCAACACAGTACACAAGATAAATTTATCTACATTGCTATATATATGGAATTCAGGATATGGCTTAATTTCATTCCCTCTTTACACACAACCATAATTTCTGGAACAATAGTTGGATATTCTTTCCTTGTCATCATAACAGATTTTTTACTCTGAAACAAGATACATGTACATGCATGGCTTTTTTTTTCATCGCAGACGGTTTCATTCCTTCATTAATTTATGTTGTTGTAATATAAACAAATATCTATGTACATGTAACTTATTCAATTGTTAAATAAACTGATAAACATTAATCTTCTTAATTGATATAATAAAAAAAGAAGCTGGATTAATAATAACAATATTTAATTTAACTGAGTGAGAGTGGAGTTGTTTTTAAATACACCGCAAATAGGAAGCCAGATAAAGTAAAAAATAAAATCCAATTACTTTGTACATACATTGTAAACACTATCAGTTTATGTAGACACAAATAAATGGTTATAATCAGTCCGAAGCCTTAGGGTAATCAGTACTTAGATGTATTTCATTTGGTCCATAGCATCCCAATATTACAAACAGAGAAAAAATAGAGCATATATAAAGTTTTCAGATTATATATATACATGTATAATCATATATATACATGTGTAAATATGTGTTTTTTTAAAAATAAAATAATCTGAAAACTTTATATATGCTCTATTTTTTCTGTTTGTAATATTGGGATGAAGCGGATCAAATGAAATATAAAAGGATGAAATACTTATGTGATGAAACATCATGCACCCGTAAACTACCCATCAGAATGTATGATTAAAAGCACAGTATTCCAGATTAAGGTCCAACATACACTTTCAAATCGTACATGTATAGATCACAAAATTGTCTACATTAAATTACCAAAAGCATGTAGTCAAAAATTCATTCAAATCAATTTTGACTGATTTTATGCTGCCATCTTTCATGACAATTTTGTTTTTGATCAAGATCAAAGATTCAGTGTCATTTAAATTCCAAATTCTTCTAGATCAATCAAAGTTAGCTTATATTTTTATATTACTTATTCTATGAAATTAACAAATAGACTTATGAAAATTCGTGAGAATAGTGAACAACAACCTACATGAACATAATAATTCACGTCAGACATCATCTTTTTCTTTTTGGCTTTACGGCGTATCATTTCTCTGTCTTTAGTCGTAACAAACTCCACAACAAGAATCGACTCACTGCCCTCATTATCATCAATTCTTTTTATACTATCAATTAACATCCGCGAAAGTATGTTTGAATTAATCTTCAAATCAGTTTGTAGAAAATTTCTCAAAGCATTTTCATAATCTGTTGAATTATTATGAATATAGTTTTTGTCAAAAATATTAACGAAGATTAATTGCTTTTTTAATTCCTGATATTTCTGTTTCAATAGTTTGTGGTTAACATCCTTGTAATCGGCACTAAGAACTGTCATTTTATCACCAATTAAATTCAAAAGTCTGTCCTGCTTTTGCAAAACTGAAATAATTCTTTCTGTCTTTGTGGCATTTTTGGAAACATTGTTTGCTAAATCAATGGTATGTTCATGAATATTATCCATTTGGTTCCGTAGGACATGCATATCCGCATTTACTGTCTGCATACTGCATTCTAGTTCATTCATTCGTTGTTCAAGAACAGTAACTCTGTCTACTTTTTCCAGTTTAGCAGTAATAGTTGACACTTGTTTTACCAATTGTTGAACCACAGCTAAAAGATCCATGTTGTCAGCTAGAGATTCAGATTGTAGAATTGGTAAAACTAATTGACTGGCACGATCAGTTTCTAAGAAAAGTTCTGTTGCGATATCATTCATCATTATAATACTAGCAATAATCTTCTAATAGAGATGACATTTATTCACTAAAATTTGGTGTCCAGAATCTTAATCTACAATATCTCTGTGAACAAATGTGGAAATTTTTACAAAGCTTCTTTTCAATTAGCAAATGAAGTAATCTCTCTATCCAATGAACCACACATTAAAAATCCAGTTTCAGAATAACAATTTATTCCAATTCTAAAAATATATACTGTTACCAACAACTCTAAATACACTGTGTCAGTGTTTCACTGTGAGTTAAAAGTGTTGTACAAACTGTTAATTACTAACAGTACTCTGTCAATTAACAGCTTTATACATTTATCAATCAACTTATTCAATGGTTTCTATTGATGACTGTCTCAGAAGTTCATTACATATTATTAAGTTCATCAAGTAGTTCCTTTGTACAAAAGTTTTAAAAACAACTACATTGAAAATTTAATTGTTCATTCTTAAACCAATTTTATGGTTTCACTAGTGGCTAATCAGTTATTGAAAGAGCTCCTTTGAATTTAAATCTCCATTGTAAAAAGATTTCACTTGGTTAAAACAATATCCATGGTTTCTAATGACACCAACATCATTTACTCAATTCCTTCACTTCATACAATTAAACATGAAATTAATTTTTCCAGCCTGTTTCCTACCCTAGTACTTAGTATTATAACTTCACTAAATTCATTATAAAAAATCCTATTTGTATCTAGTGCATCATTTCACATCTTCTTACACCTTAGAGAATGCAATCCTAAGTAAAATACAATGTAGCTCACTATAGAAATCCTCATGTTATTGTCTAAACCAAACAACATCCTACAATCTACATGTTACCAACAAATATCAACTTAACAACAAAATTAAAAACAACACACCTTTAAAAAGGTAGCCATTACATGTACAAGGATGCATAGAAAACAACATGTGTGTAAACTTTAAAACAAAAGTGTGATGTCAATACAAAAATATGGCTAAACAAGGAAATAAATGTGCAATTAAATTTGCATAAAAATGTTTATGTTTTTTCTCCAATCAAACTGTCTTTATTTTACATTGTTGTTGTAAAAATCATTGTTTATTTAATCTTCTTGAATAAAGCTTAAGTCACATAAAATCTTTGTTACAACTTGAAGCAATGTTCATATTATACTTTACTGGGTTTCTATTGGCATAACGGGGGGTTGGATGGCCGAATGGGTAGCACACGTGCGCTGTATCATACGGTCTGTCATTGAGTCAACTGGCGGGGTTTCGATTCCCCGGTTGTACGTGACAAGGAGTAGGGTCGCCTGTCCAACCTCGTGGGTTTTCTCCGGGTCCTCCGGTTTCCTCCCACAGCTAAAGACCCCTACGCGCAAACGAATTATGGAAATAAAATTCAACCATATGTTAGTCCCGAAATGACCTAGTTTGTGTCGAGTGGATGTTAAACCCCATTTCTCTCTCTCTCTATTGGCATAACTCCATAACAGACTACATGCGCTGGGGAATATTTGTAATGTGTGTTTGGATTTAAAATGGTTAATCTCTTACGATTGTGATCGGTTATGCTATTCAAATATCAGAAAGTCATTCTTGCAACAGAATATCTGTTGTGACTATCTACCATCTTTACATATATATTATTAATACTTTGTTTCTAACTTTATCATATTTTCGACTGTACCTGTTGCACAGTCATGGATTTTACTGTCCAGATTTGGTTGAAATTATGCCATTGGTTGATTCTGTAAGATTGACCGACTGTCCCAGTTGCTACTGCAAGTCATTAGGATTGAAAATATAGTCCTTTCTCTTGGTTGAAACGGTAGGTCACCCAGCTTATTGACATTCGCAACTATCAATCATTCTGATCATTCCAGAGATGGACAGAGAACAACAACTTCCGTACAAACAGGGACTATAATCCAGGATGTTAAGGTCTGACATGTGATGTGTCAATATCAAAAGGAACCCAGATCTTTGAGATATTAAACATAAATTTCAAGTTTCGTCAAAATCAGATAAAAAATGTGACCTGTAAAGTTTCAACTCAAAAAAATGTGAACGGACGGAGAGGGGCGACGACAATATACGTCCACATGAAAATGTGGGCGTATCAAAAAAACAAACTAATATTTTACATACAGTGTAGACTGGTGGCCATAATGTACATATTGAATCATTACTGTGGGGAATAAAACTTAAAACTACAAACAACCATTGATGGGACGTAGGCCCAAACTAACCAGTATAGGGTTAATTTACATGTACTTACAGTAAATTCTCCAGTATGACAGTCAAATCCAACATGAACCATGTGCTCAAAGTTTTTAGGTTCTGATATGACTGGTTTCTCATTTTCCTTCTGTTTAGCTGTTTTATAACCTGCAAAATTATAAGTAGACAACCATTAAGATATGTTTCAAATGGCAATAAAATTATAGCAGGTAACTGAGTTTCACAATGACATCCAAAAAGACATGGACAACTTTCTCAGTCATGTCATATCGTCACTGTATTTTCCAATGCATTTTAACAATCTATTTATACTAAATGCCATGGCTAAGTTTATGTAATATATTCCTGAAAATGTTATGACAAGTGCCTCATCCTCCTCCTTTATTGTAATGCTACAGTAATTTTTTGGTTGAATATTTGATGCCAAATATGCTAAAATTTCACAAAGTTGACTCTAAGCTAATTACCTACACATGTATGTCTTAATATGTTTCTTAAACCTATATGATCAAGTGACAAGCAAATTCGCATTCTCCCATGCAAGTCTCGCTATTCCGCAGTATGAAGTGCAAGGGAAGACAGCACTATTTGGAAGAACGACAAATATGATCAGTCAGTTGCTAGTCTATTCAGAAATTTATATCATGTACAAAGACAAAGTACAGGCCCCGAGTTCACAAAGCATTCTCAGACTTAAGTTGAGAATTTACTCAACTTTCAATCACTGTTTGTAAGGAATATCTTTCATCCAGAAACACAAAATTTTAAACATAGTTTCTTATTGATGTATTTGATACATTAAAACAACAAACATTTTATAAAGGGCTATATTTTAGTTAAAATAAGGAAAACAATTTTGAGTAATTCTGAGAATGCTTTGTGAACTCGAGCCCAGGTATCATATCCTGGATGACACTCATGAAGGGCAATGACTGAAATTGCTGATAATGAATAAACATCTTCTGTTCCACTATTGTAAACTATATGTGCATGTATGCACATTCAAAAAAGGTCATATGATTTCTAAGGCCGTAAATATTATCAACTTTGTACGCAAAATTCAAAGATTACTGAAATTCAATTTCTGCATCTAATAAATCTACCCATAAATTTCAAAAAGATCAGATGACCTTTAGAAGGAATTGTGGATGACAAACAACAAAAAATGTGGGTGTATAAAAAAAACACAGTTAAAAAATTAGCTTATATAACATGTACATGTATTTTACAAATTCAATAACTCACCCAAACTCCTTCTTTTAAAGGAAGATGTTAAATTTTGCAATGATCCTAGCATTGTAATAAATAATTCCACTTATATGAAAAATCCTCGATATTTTTGTCAGTCCAAATAAGAAACATCACAAATTAAAATTGGTTGTGTCCTTGTTTGATATGTTGATAAAAACTGAATCAGCAAGTCAACACCCCTTTTTAAACGCTACATGTACTTTAAAATGGTACATAATTATACTCTCTAAACGATTAACAAATATAGGCATGTGTGGACTATATCTTCTCAAATTGTCTCTATTTCAAATATTTAAATGAGATTTAAGAAGTCTGTAATATTTTAAAATTTTTTAATAAATATGTATTTTTATACCTAATAATATGATCTAAAAATCTATAAATAATATACATGTATATAATATATACACATGTATGTATATTATGAAAATATTTCAAGCTTAACCTATTTAACAGCTGAATGCTAGTTAGACTCCCTGTTATGTTGAGTTGCGGACGATGTAAACAGTTTATTTTCCTTCAGATTTTGTGAAGATTATTTTTATCAAATTAAAGTTTTATAAATCATATCCTTTTAAGAAATAATCAAATTTAATATTTTTGGTACGCCTCACACAGAGATGCTAAAATTAGTAGTTTTACATCTGCATATTGAATTGAAATTGAGAAGGCTATTAATTAATTACTTTAATTGACACTTGATACTGTGTAGTAGCTATAACAAGTTACATTAATAGACTCAGCCTTATTTATATCACAATTATTTTTTCCTCTCATTTTGTAGACAATTACAATTTGAACAACTTATATATAACCTTATATACACTGTATATTATTATGTAAGTATGTTATTCTTTAATCATGTTGCTGTCATCTTATTTACATATTTAACAGATCTACAAAGGACAAACAGTAATTTTCTACCATGTTTGAAATACTGATTAATAATACCATCTTTGTTTCTAAGTCACACTTGTTGATCATTAAAGGAGGGCATATATATATATACCACAGTCTACCTTCTTTTGATTTTGTCTGGTAGATAAAAGAAAATATAGAAACATTGTATTTTGACCAGTTGGAAAAGTGGCAGGTACATGTACATATATAGGGTGACCCGTGCACTCTACAGAAAGTTGGTCTCGACACGGCTAAATGCGCACGCTTCAGTTGCGTGTCTCGAACTGATTTCTGACTACCCCGCACTCTCTTTGAGTCGATAAATAGCCATGGCACGTGCAATTCTCTACAAATATATCAACTATTACAGCCGTAAAAAATCTATTGTTGACGATTTTGAATAGCAGTAAAATTTAGCTTCTTGGTTATTACAGCAGCTTTAGAAATTACGTTTGTTTTGTTTTTTAAATTGCTTTATCATTAACTGTGCCGTTAAGAGCGACATCTTTTGGTTTAGTACAAATAATATCTCTGAAACACTCGGGTTAGACAGGAGCATGATACTAGCAGTAGTTTCATTTTACTTTTACAAGCTTCTTAAAACGATTGTTGAGCTACCTAACATGCATATTTCTAAATTCAATTTCTTGTTCTAGCTTTCTGTTATGTTTCGTAAAAAAGTAGTCTTGATTATCCAGACCTGTCAATCAGACGTAGAATGGTCGATAGACTGGTTAAGCGAGACTAATTTCAAAACAAGGGCACGTAACTTATCTTTTACTCAAAAGTGTCTGGATGTTATGGACGACACTTGGAACCAGTTTTCAGTCTATTATTTATAGATGATTAATGGTCATAGCTTATTAAGTACAACATGATCGTTTATTTAGTGACTATAATTGTGTGAAACTGATTTGAGGCTTGGCATATATATAAATATTGTGGCGTAATTGTCGAGATATTTGGAGATATTTATTTATGGTGGGTCACC